GCTATTGTTATCAACTGCTTGCGCAAAATGCCCAGTAGTACAGATACTGCCGATGAAGTTGTAAACTCCTGTAGTCCACCTAGGAAACGCTCTAAAAAAAGACACCTGAGTGCAGAAATGAAAGAGGTCATTTTGAATATACAGGGTGACTTCGAAGTTGAGTCATTTATTTTAACAGTGGGTAGACCTGATCAAAAGAAATGTTTTTTTCCTTTACCATTTTTCTGGTAAAATTAAAGTAACAAAGTTATAGCCCTTTGGAAGTTTGAGTACCGCCCTGTCTCAATGTGCTCGTGTTTGGCGACAACGGATATAATCCGCCGTATCGGTTCATCGCATCGGAAACAAAAAAGCGAAAGAATTTGGAACGAATTATTTCATTCATTTGTATACAGTCAGTGTCAGTGAATAGTTGTATCTGTTGCGTGGCTCAAACGAAATAAAAAATGGCACATGTTTATGCGGATCGGTTTCCCAATCGAGTGCAACCAACCCCTCGTGCCTTTGTTAATGTAGTACAACGGGCTCGTGAATCAGGTGACTTAAGACGATCAAATACAGGTCCGCACTGAAATACTTGTCGGGAGGATACTTTATAAAACAAGGTAAACATTTTTTTTAATTTTTTTTTATTTTTACACACATATTTTGGTTTATCTTCCTTCTACAATCATTATCTGAAAATTAATGACTCAACTTCAAAGATCGAGCGCGAGGAGAACGAGGCATCAACCATCAAAGAAATTGTTGTGAAGGTTTCTCACAAAGTTGGGGTGTGTCGCGCATCAGTGTTTAATGTGTTAAGACAATTCAAAAAAAAATCACACCTTTTCTGAGCCAATGACCAGTAAACATCGCAAAAGTATTGTTAAATCATTGGATGAAGCTGATAAGCATGCGATTAGGAGGAAAGTGCATGAATTCTTCTTTAGGAATGAAATACCTACTATAGATAAAGTACTGCAGGAGGTAAATGGAGATACAACGTTGCCAAATTTCAAACGATCAACTTTCCATGCGTTACTGAAACATTTAAATTTCAATTGGAAAAAACGGGGTCGTAATAGTTTACTACTGGATAGAGAAGAAATTGTGCTATGGAGGAGGGATTATTTAACAAAAATTGGGAAATATAGAAATCAAAACAGGAAGATTTATTACCTTGATGAAACGTGGGTAAACGCAGGACACACTACAAGTAAAGTATGGGTTGATGATTCTGTAACTTCATCCAGGAGGGCCTTTCTAGATGGACTGTTCACCGGATTAAAAATTCCAGCAGGTAAATACGAGTAATAGACAACAATCGGATGTTTTTCAAACCTTGGGAACAAGGTTCTAAACATTAATTCCAGGGGACAGATAAAACATATTACAAGTAACAAAACTTTTATAACTTTCGATAAAATGCGTGGATGTTTTATAGTCATTTTCATTTGTTAGAACTTTTTTAAGCCATGTTTTTATGTGTTTTCGATATTTCAATAATTTTTTAATATAATCTTAAAATATGTCGAATATTATAAACTTAAAAAAAGTTATTAAGTTTTATATTGTGTACCGTTCCTAATATTTCTAATCATTTTAATTCATACTCTAAGCTTTATAAAGTTATAGTTCGTTAATATTAATATTTGCGCGTATTTCAGGTTCCTGATCATTCATTTTTTAAAGGTTTATAACTTTAAATTAAATTGTGAAGCGCTGAGTAATCATACGACGTTCAATATTCTTTCTTTCAATATGACTAAATAATCCCAATTATAGCAATCTCATGTCTCAATGTTTTTTCGCTGAATGTGCTGAAAACATTTGAAAAAGGTTCGCTTATTGAAATAAATCTACACCAGTTAGTACTTCGATATCCAGGTAAAGGGAAAAGGCTCATTATCTGCCATATTGGCAGTGAGGATGTGAGCAATCATACGACGTTCAATATTCTTTCTTTCAATATGACTAAATAATCCCAATTATAGCAATCTGGTACTCATGTCTCAATGTTTTTTCGCTGAATGTGATGAAAACATTTGAAAAAGGTTCGCTTATTGAAATAAATCTACACCAGTTAGTACTTCGATTTCCAGGTAAAGGGAAAAGGCTCATTATCTGCCATATTGGCAGTGAGGATGGATTTGTTGTTGACGGTCTGTGGTGCTTTGAGTCTAAGAAAACTGGAGATTACCACGAGGAAATGAATGGCGAATCGTTTGAACAGTGGTTTTCAAAAATTTTACCGAACTTAGAGGAAAACGCAGTAATTGTGTTGGATAATGCGCCTTATCATTCTCGAAGAATGGAGAAGGTCCCAACAACGGCTTCAAGGAAAGTTGATGTTCAAAATTGGCTCCGCTCGAAAAATATCAACTTTGAAGAAGCAATGCTGAAAGTACAATTATTAAGAATTGTCAAGGATCACAAGGCGGAATATCAAAAATACGCCATTGACGAAATGGCAGCAAGTCAAAATAAAACTGTGCTCCGTTTACCTCCATACCATTGCGAGCTCAATCCCATTGAGCTCATATGGGCAGAGGTTAAAAATTCTATAGCTAAGCACAATACAACTTTTAAATTTTGTGACCTCAAAGGACTTTTCAAAGAAGCACTAGAATTAATAACAGCGCAAAAATGGGAAAACTGTATTAAGCACGTGAAAGACAAAGTTGAAAAGAGAATGTGGGAACTGGACAATATTTTAGAGGAACAAGTCGAGCCATTCATTATTGACGTTGGTGCTTCAGGCAGTAGCGATGATGAAAGCTCATCAAGCTCATCTTTCCAATAAAAGATGTCGTTCATCAAATTCGGTAAGTTATAAGTAATTATAAAGCTACTGTATTTTTTAATTAATTATTGACATTTTTGAACCCATTTTGGCAAAACCTATTCAAGAATCTACTTTCTGACAATGTTCAACCATGCACATTTTTTTACGTTTTGAACGTTTTAATTTGGTTACATATTTACCTAGAAATCAAAAAATATACTAATCAATATTCTAAAAACAATTTTAAGAGATACGATTATTTTTAATTTAGGCTAATTTAAACGCCATTTTGAGATTATATTCGACTGTATTTCACCAAACATCAGGCGGCATCCGAAGCTGGAAATCGAAGCGAAAATTTTGAAACCCTTATGTATATTTACATCATTATATACTTCTTTCCCCACCCCCACACGATCCTATATTCATCACCAATCGTATACATATCGAATTGTGCTAATTTACTACAAAGTTACGCAAAGCAGCATCTACTATCTAAAATATGTACTGCGTGACTCTTAATACGTCCCTGCCGAATGTTACAGCGTTCGATGATCACGTGGTCTTGTTTATGTCCGGTCTATCTCTTATCTGAATATACTGTAGACTCAACATTGGTTTGTCTGGTCCCAACACTGCGGTGTTCTAAGAAGTTTAGATGTTCCTTGATCTTCTGTTGACTAGCAGTGTCGCACGATTTTTTTAATCAACTGTTAGACCTGGATCTAGGCACTTTCACTGTAAGAGGGATACGCTCGTTCATACCAACGTGGATTACTTCAGATAATGACGACCAGATAGTCCACGTATCCAAGGAAAGCTGGGGAAAAAATCTCCGTGACTTTCCCAGTCAGTATGTTCGTCATGCCAAGTTGTGTGGCCTGGGCGAGTTTCTGTTGCCACATTTATTCATTCTATGGTGATTAAGATCACATTATAAGTAAAAAGAGTAAGATATGTCAATACAAAAAATTTAGAGCGGCTACAAATATTAAGTCTATTAATATAATCTATCTATTCTGGGGTTGCAAACAGAAAGTCGCCGGGGCTATCATTATAGGCTCTTGTACAATACTCCTGAATATTATGATCAATGGTCTGACTCTAATCGCAGTTACACTGAGGATATAATTGCTTGCGCATCCCTGCAGGAAGTATGCGCATTTGCCTTGACGAGTTTGAAACCTATATAGAGTGTAGGTTATGCGTTGCAGGTTAAAATTAGGTGTCTCATGGATATATGCTGTTATCTTGCCCCGCAGTTCATCCTTCAGACCATGCATCGGTAATGCTGAGTGACTCTTCTACATTGCTTCTTCGTTGGAAATTTTCGAGAGTGAAGTCGGTTAGAATTTTTTTTATTTCTGCGAGCTTGTTACTGCTCCATCTACCGTTTCTTGCATCGTATCCCCCATGCCTCTTTATCTCTCCAAACGTCATATTTTCGGCTTCTTCTGTATATACATCGTCTGACTTGCTTTTCCTATCCCTCTGAATGGAGGTTTCCAAATTAAGATCTTTTTTGGCCACCGACTATCATACATTCTGTTCACATGACCGTACCTCCTTAATCTGCGTCTCTCAATTTCATCCGTCACCTATCTTCGAACCTCTACTCTTCGCTTTATTCCGTGTAGCCTGAAAACTTTGCAGCTCTATCGGAAGAATTCCATTTCTGTCGCCTCCACTCTTTGTCTGTGCAGTTTTGTCATTTACCATACCATCCATCCATATAACAGAATGTTTTGTACAATTGTCTAATGTATTTTTAGTTTAATGTGTCTTTGTATAATATTTGGCCACAATATAAAGTTTAGTTGACGTATAGCATGTCTTGCTTTATTAACTCGATGTGATATTTATGCGATGATGAGGCAAAATTAGTTGGTGGCTACGGCCACTTGCTAGCGTACAGTCTTTTAGACGTATACAATTGATTGCTTCTTGTCCAGCTGTCTCCTTGACTTACCAGTAGTAGACAACATACCGCACTGAAAAGGGCTAATGAGCCCGAAACAGTTCTGTCTGCGGTTGGTTATGGTTTCAACAGCTCGAAGGGGACATTGAGGTGAGTTTATTTAAATATAAATTCACAAATTTATGTCATTAGTAGGTATATTGAAACATATATCCAAACAGCATAATTATGAGAGTAAAAACGTAGGCGTAAAAAATGAAAAGTTAGGCGAAATTATCCTGCCAAGGCACACGGCCTTCATCCGATTGAAAATACCTGATGAATTCCTTCCTGACTTCTTTAGCTTCGACAGATGCCCTTCATGCTCTATTTGGCAAATTCTGCAGACCATTATCACCTATGATCCAGGAATAATTTTTCCATCTTGCGTTTCGTTATCTAAGGTTCCTTGAGGACAATGTAATGATCGCGATGTTTTACTCCTTCTAAAAAAATTATGGAGGCAAGTACTTGTTTTTGTGACAATTTTGGCGTTTTCCAAGTTGATCATTAGTGGTTTCCTGAATACACGAAATACCCTTGCTAGCAGCCCAAATGAATTTTCCACTACTCTTCGAGCACGTGAATGCCTATAATTGTACAATTGTACAATCTTTGAGAAGTGCCTTTGTCGTGGTGGCCATTGAAGGGTTTCATGATGTGTTCCTGTAGTGGGAACGCATCATCCATTAATATGACATAAGGCGATAGTTTACTGCTACCAGGAAGTGGCTCTGGGTCAGGCAAGTGCAGCGTTCCTTGAGCCAACTTTTTATAAAAGGATGTTTCTCGAAAAACACCTCCTTCGGATATCATGCCTTGACAGCCAACATTAGCATATATCAAATTATAATTTGCGTCAGCAACGGCCATCAAAGCAATGCTAAAAGTTCCTTTGTAGTTGAAAAACATACTGCCACTGTTTTTTGGATTCTGGATGAGAACGTGTTTTCTGTCACAAGCTCCTACGCAATGCGGTTAATTCCAGGAAACTTCGAAATCTCTTGCTATGGTTCCCCATTCGTTTTCTGAGCATGGCATCTAGAAAAAAATAATAAGCATTTACTCATACTGTTAGTTTTTATTTCAAATTTGATTGTATTTGCAATCATCTTATGACATTTTACATTATCACAATCGTCAGTTACGTCCCCATCAGATCCTCTGAAGGTAACAAGAGAAAGAAAAGTGGAAGATCAACTTGCGGATGAGGCACATGCCATTTTGAAGAATTGTGTTAATGATAGAAAGGAAGCCAGCAGTGTTTGTGGCGAGCATGTAGCCTCAAAGCATTGAAAGTATAGTCAGTACACCAAAAATGTAATCGATTAACACGATACAATTCAGATATGGGGAAATATGACGAATTGCAGCCTGAACGTAACCCGCCTACTCAGCAGCTTAAGCCGGATGGATATCAACCACATACTATTTAGGTTGTTCATCCAGAAACCTCATCAAATTCATCCCAAGTGGATAAGGTACGCAGCGATTTGACGTGCTACTATAGTTCCTTTTCAGATGATTCATATTCCTCATCCAATTATTTATTAGTTATCCCCGAGGTTATTCTTTTTGCTATTTGTATTTTTCTTTTGATTAAGTTACCTTTTGTTTTCAGTACGGGTTTCATTATAAATGAAAACGTCCTAGTTATCTTTCAAATAATTATTTACGTAATATACATAGATCCCTTTGAAAGTGACATAAATAATAATGTACCTATTTAGTATTAGGATCTCGTTACGTTTATTATACATTTTTTATCGTTTTGGAAACGATAACGTTACATTTTGTTTTTACTATGGATTTCATTATAAATGAACCTTCCAGATAATTATCCACATTAATCTGATAAGTATAAATAACAATAACGTCCTTATTTAATATGCAGATATTATTATTATCATTATTATAGATGGTATTGTTAATTTTATACTTCAGACTTTTTGTTTGACGGCATACTATTTATATTTTTGAAAACTGATATCTTATTATTATAATAAAAAAATGATAATGTATTGATGTTTTTACTTACCCTAAACAAATCATTTAGAAAGTCCATCAAAGCTCTGCAAACCTCAGGAAGTATTCGAGAAATGCTTGGTTCAGATATCCGAAATAGATACATAAGCGATAGATCACCCGTAGCCAAATATCTTAATGTCACTAGCAATCTCATGCGGGGCGTTATTGCTTCCCGAAAGTTGGTATCATATCATAGGTGAGATTTTTTCAAGTAAGTAGTGAAAATCGTTTTTACTCATCCGTGTGAAATTTCGGAATAAACCATCGTCGTCAGCCACCAAGTTCTTGTACAAATTGTACTGAATTTGTCCACCATCTACGTATATATTTCTTCTCCAATATTCTGGCGTTTTTCCTTTTCTTTTCCGATCTGAAGAAATTACTAAATAAGCAGCCGCCGCGACTATATGTAATGACATGACGTACTAAAGTGAACTGAATCGTGAAGACGCATGTTACACTCATGTACGACAAAGCGCATGCCACATAGGGAAACAAAATCCGCATGCGGCATTAATAGAATTTGTTTAAATTTTCGGCAGATGTTCTTTAAAAGATATGGATCTATCCAGTGCCTCGCATGAATATTTCGATGTTTTGTTCTACCTAATGATGTTGCTTTCAAACCGTATGTGGAGTTCTGTTTCAGCGACTTTGTTGTTGAGATAGAAGCAGCACAGTTCTTTACTTTTTTTTGGCTCAAATCGCTACCACCTGATAAATTAATATTTTGTCTCCTTAATGGTTACTGTTATTCAGCTACTGCAGCAAATTGTGAACATGAACATTTCTGATCGAATTACGGTCTATCTTGGTTGTGTTACTGACTGACATTGTAAGTATTTCACTAGTTAGCTATTTCCGTTTCGTCATTAATGCAACAGGCCGCTGGAATTCAAACACAATAAACTGTATGCAGAATACCTCAGGCGGGGTAGTGGAAGCATATCGAGATTCATAGTGGGAGGCAGGTGATGACAAGACACGGCCGCAAAGTGAGAAAGCCGAAAGACAGGGCGGAACAGGACACCCTTATAATTAAAACACATCCGGGTGAAAGCTCTAATACGCTTAGGAGAATGTGGCAAAAAGTAAATTTACTAGAAATAGGTGCTCAATGTAAGACTGACGTGAAAGGTGAAATTGAGTTGAAGGTGGCAGAAAAAAAGGAAGGTGCTGCTAAAAGCTTTTGATGCAGGTTGCCACGCCTTTTTACATAAATAAGAGGAAATGATGGTATGATTCCTCTTTCCTTTTTTTAGATTAATTAATAAAACACTACAAATAATATCTAAGGGTCAGTCGATGCAAAACAGCTATCAAGTGGCGTGCAAATTTAGGCCCTAGCTCAATAAACCGGAGAGCAGGGGGGGTTAAGAGCGCCAGTGACTCAAGACGGATTAAGTCACAAATCCCCGAGGTGTCAGTCGGCACTTGCTTTGCTTGACCACCACACAAAGAAAAGAATCTAATAGTAATGATGAAACCTAATTAATTGTAGCCAGAGAGCCAAATAAAACAAGATATTAAAAAAAGGATCACAATATATTATCAAAACAAGCAGCACATATGCTCCACCACTGGAGTGCAAGTTAAAAGTAAGGATATTATTCAAGACTACCTGACAATAAAATTAATAGACCGTGATAATTATTCCTGTAAAACGTTTACCATGGTACACGTACGAAGGCTTTACAAATATAGGCCTTACAAAAATTTTAACGCCTAAACCTAAACTTATCTGGATAATGGTCTTATATGGAATGATTTTCCAGTTACAGCTCTAGGCGCAGCTGAGATGTCCTCAGCTCATAAGCGCTCAGGTCAAAAACCAGTGGCCAGTAGTGAGCAGTGACGTAAGGAACGTCACCAGGTAGGGGCTGCTTGCCTCGTTTCCAAAACTTAGGGAATAAAAAACCCGAGAGAGAGAAGAAAACTGCTTGAAAATCTACTATCTACTCTATATCTGAGACAGAACTACACATTTAAAACACTCAAAAATTGCAGAAAACTCAATATATATTCTCTTTGACAAGAAATTTAAAACAAAGGTAGAAAAGATAAAAATATACCCTGATAAAGTTATCCCTTGATCTAAAATAAGTTATGTCAGCTCAAAATTCAAAATGATGATCAATGTAATATTGTAAGCCCAAAAGACAGTGAATTTTAGTCAGCAACAATCAAAATATTAATATCAATAAAATACTCAATTAAAATGATATTTTACCTGTTCACATCAGGGTTTTTTTATCAAAGGGAAGAGATGTCTTCAAACAAAATCGGCTGCGAAACAGCTACAAGGCAGCTACAAAACAAAGCTGGAGAATTGTGAATGGTGGTTATCCGCAATAGATTTTCACTCAAAGGAATCAGACATTGAGCTAACTTCTTCAGGACAAGCATTAATGGACGTGGTCCAATGGTATACAAAAGAGAACTTACCGCTGGAGGTTAAAATCCCATTGGAAAACGGACGTGTGGTAGTACCCAAACCAACACATATAAACGTAAGGTACAAAATAAAAGGGTACTACTCCATAAACTGGCGTTTGGGGCGTTAATGTCTCAAACTCTGGAAGTTAACAACGCTCACACACAACCAAAACTACAACAGAAAGAAAAATAAAATGGCGCTGGACCGTCTGCGCCCGCAACCCCCTAAAAGATGGTCAAATAAGTGCCCTTGAAGAAGGCACGTTCGATAGAAAATCAAAAGGAGCAGATAAAAGCCGGTAAAAGAGGTATCTTGATAGTAAAGCAAATGTTAACAGAAGGTATCTTGATAGGAATGTAAACATTCATATACGGCTAGTACGTATAGGAAGCACAAGGTGGCGCGCTGGTCCACTCTGTTTACGATGGTTCAACGATATTTTATAAGAAAATTTCGAAGATAGTCGTTAATAATGCTATAACATTAGTGTCAAAAAGAAAATCAATAAACTATAGAATTAGCCAAAAGAAAATCATTAAAAAGGGTTTGGTCCAGGAATGGGCACTCTGCTATGATTAAAGAGAAATTCAAATTACTGATAAGCGACCAAAATAAAAAAAGGGTTACGTAATTTTGGCACGTGACAAGGTCGAAGGTAACGTAGCCAAGGCACCAGAAAGGACTGTTGTGATCATAGTGCGCGACCTTGAAAAACCATAGAATAAGGAAGGGGTCCGTCAAGCTGTGGAAGAGGCTCTGCAGAAACAAAACGTTGCAGGACTACAAGTCTTTGAGCCCATAGCACCTAAAAGTGGGAAGGGGTTCTGTACTGCCCTGATGGAACTTCCTCAAGGGCTTGGCCGTATGCTGCTAGAACAGCGGCGGAT